ATATATATTATGATTAATATTTTTAAGAATTTTTATCTTTAGTTGATACCCTTATAATTTAAAATCGATAAAAAAAATCAAAAATTAATAATTAAACTTCTTATTTACACCCTAATTTTGTTGATAATTTAAAGTTTTTTTTATGGATTTTAAATTATAAAGGATGTTAATTAGTAAAAAAACTAAAAATTATGAAGGATGATAACTGAAAATATATATATTTATATATAGATATACACAATGTATAAATAAAGGGTTTAGCCTAATTAATGATGATAAGTACTCAATTTTTTTTTTCTTTGATAGAGTACTCAACTTAATTAGTCCATTAGTCCAATAATAATAATAATATATAGCATATGGAAAAAGTGTCATGCCATTATACTAAACTCAACTGCATAATATTAATGAGTTAGATTCTTTAATATTGGGGTCTTTTTTTATTTAATAATTCTTATTATATAATTTAAATTATAAAATAAACTCTCATAGCATATTATTTCAAGTATTTCTTTTTTGAATTTATATTGATGTGTAGTGTACAGTAGTATTTTAAAGATTTGTAGAATCATTAAATGGGAAAGAAAACTCTAATATAAGGGGGCTCACTCTAATTTAATAACTAAAATTAAGTATTTAAATAATTTAAATTACATGATACTTTTTATATTAACAAAGAAAAAAAAAAGACACTTGTAAATCTTTTTAAAAAGAAACTTTTTAACTCGTATATTTAAAAGTATAATTATTTTATTTTTTATTATTAATTTATATAAAAAATAAAAATTAATTTAAATTTTTATCAATTATTAATTAAATTATTTCATAAAATATTGATGTTAAAACTTTTTTTTATCAAAAATATTAATAATAAAATTTATTTTAATAATTTTTAAAAATTAATAATAAAAATATATAATAAATAAATAATAAATATAATTTAAACTGCACAATACATGTAAAAAAAAAAAAGAAGGTTATTTTAGAAAAATTAACGAAGGCAAAGCAGGCGAGTATTCAGTTTCTTCCATCTTTTCATATCTCTGAAGTAAACGTCAACGACTCTGAATATAAACTCACTCAGAAAAGTTGGAAACTTGTCAGAAGAATTTAGTAGGAGGAGATTTTTCTTTGAAGAAAGATTAAGGTATAAATATTAATTTCTTCTTGTT